CCTTCATCCTTGGACTCATCCGCTGTCCTTCGCGATGCCTCAGTGAGGCCCTCACCTTCCTCAGGGTCAGCACCCGCTTCCTGGTACCCAACACACAGCCCTTCACCATCACAAAGTCATTGTTGACTTCTCCGTACTGAGGAAATCCACCCTGGAAGACAGAAAGGCAGGGAAGACATCAGGGCTGAGGGTGGTGTTTATTCACTGAGGAACAGCAGTCCCCACCAGAAGACCCTTGGGGAGCATGTCATGGCATTCAAAAGAAATGGCTGCCACAAAGAAATTTCAGCATGCGCAAAATGGCTGTCTTTGCAAGGATGGCCAATTGCAAACATGCCAATGCCACGACGGGAATACTCTCCTGTGATGTATATCATGCCCCCTGACAACTTATTTCACTTTTTCTAGCTGCAGCCCTTTTTCTAAACACACCAATGGAAGCAAATGGAATCCTAAAGCATTATGGTATTTTATGTGCAGCAAATTACAAAAGCAGCAGCCTGCTTCATAGCAATAGCACTTAGACTTATGTACTGATTCAGAGTGCTTTACAGCCCTCTCTAAGTGGTTTACAGAGTCAGCCTGTTGCCCCCAACAATCTGGGTCCTCATTTTACCAACCTTGGAAGAATGAAAGACTGAGTCAACTTTGAGCCAGTCAGGATCAAACTCCTGGCTGTGGATAGAGTCAGCTTGCAATGCTGCTTTCTAACCTCTGCACGACCAGGACTCCTACAGTTATAGCGTTCCATGTGGATTTTTGAATTTAAAATAAACTTGAAACTTTTTTAAAAGTAGAATATGGCACGGAATGTCTATAGGCCTGGTGCCCATGGATGCCTGGTTGGTAACAACAGGCCCAGGGAGGGGGTGGGTATCTGCAGGGTAGTGTCAAGATTTGAAGCCCAGTCTTGCTGGTGGAACAGACATAGCTTCTCGTGTGGAACTGCCTGAGAGTTCCAGGAATACCGTAATCCAGACTGTGATTGATCTGTTTTCGAAGCAAGCATGCCCGAAAATCCCATCAGCTCGGACCTTAGCCAAGTTGTTTGCACAGCACATATAGGCTGCGTGAAGTCCCAAGGCACATCATCTCTGACTGGGGGGGTGCAGTTTACCACAAAGTTCTGGCAGGAGTTTATCAAACTGATAGGATCCTCAGAGGGGCTTAGTTCTAGATTCCATCCGAGTATCAATAGGGGGGAAGAGAGAGCTAATGCAATGATAGAGCAATACTTGTGCTGCTATGTGAACTACCAGCAGACCAATTGGGCAGAACTTCTGCCTTTACAGAAGTAGCCTACAATAACTCTGTACATAGCAGCACTGGGTTCACCCATTTAAGGTAGCAATGGCAGCGGATTTTGTACCTATGTCAGAACTACCACAGGGCTCCCCTTCCTTGTTGTCCTAAGCTGATTGGATGGATAGTTTGAAAAGTACATTGGGATGTGTGTATGCAGAAAGCATTAAATAAGGCTAGGGAATCGTATAAGAGGCAGGCTGATCGGAAGAGAACTCCCCAAGAGAGTTTTAGGATTAAGGACCAGGTGTATCTGTCTATCAAGTACGTGGTCAGAGAAAATACCCTGGTGCTTCCAAAGGTTTTCCCATTGTTTTCAGAACAGCACTGGAATTCATTGGGGGGGGGTGGATTTTGAAGACAAGATATTCCTTTAAAACATGGGTTTTCATCTTGATAAAAAGATGGTACATGCAGAGAAGGGCTCATGATGAGACACCCAAAGGTTCATTCTCCAGTCAGAAGAACTAATCTTCCTTCTGGCCTCCTTACCAGTGGGGTGATGGTTTTTTCTGTTGGGTCATAATTGGTGGATGCATTGTTTCTGATCACTTTGCCATCTTCTACATGGATCCCACGGCCGATGCGATAAACCTAAAGGAAAGATTTGGTCAAAGTGACTTTCAACTTATCCAACTAGAGAATGAAGGCTGGCCAAGTCTACCTTGGTCACTGGTGCCTAAGCCCAGCCTGCTTTTGCATACCCAATTCCGGCCTCAATCCTGTTCTTACAGGCCACATCAGCACAAAGGAGGCACCAGATGCTGCATCATCCCAGTCCCCGCCCCCGCCCTGCAAAAATCAGATTTGCTCTGAGCTGCTGAAAGCTGTGGCTTATGGACTCTCGAAGCAAAGGGCTCCTCTGAGTTGACGCCTGGAGACTTCAGGAGATGACCCTGCAGCTTTCTAGGCAACAGAACACAAAAGCGATTTGCCCGTTTCAGGATGGTTTTCCAAAGCCACCAATAGCCTTTGCAAGCGCACTTTCAAAATATGTCATAACACAAAGGCTACCACTAATGTTGTCTAAATAAACTGTAGAGAGGAAAGCAAGAAAGAAAAAAAGTAGATTATATGGGACAGATATTTTTGGATTGCAAATATAAATTAGGTTTTATGTAATAAATTATGTAATGGATTATATTAAAAAGGGAGGCTTCAGTTACATATCAGTTTTATAGTGTTCACCTACAGAAGGCAAAGCAAAAATGACATAAAGAAGCTCTCCTAAAATCTTGAACCTCATTTGTTTCTTGCTACTAGTTTCTTGGTAAAAACAGCCCTCCCCCCTTCCATCTTGCAGAAGATGCAGAATTAGAGGTGGTGTATTGCACGGGCTTTCCCAGAATTCTAAAGTGACTTTAGCAAGGAATGGGAAATTGCAGTCCTGCCATATCTGTAAAATGGGTCTAATCCTGAATTCTCTGCTCCCAGATGACCCTTGCCGTGTACTTGCTAAGCCTGATAGCTTCACACCTACCAGCCATATCTATCAAACAGGTAGTGGGCGAGGAGGAAAGATGGATCAGTGGGTTGCATCTGTTGTTCCCAAAACAGTCCGATTCCGCCAGAGGTGGGTACAATTGGGGGCTGTTTGTGTGTTTGGGCTTCAAATGAGTTGTCAGGGGGAGGAGTCATACCTTCTTGTTGAGTTCTGTGCGGTGGTGGTAGCCCTTCTGGCCAGCCCGGGCAATCGAGTAGCCCACCCGGGCAGGATGCCAGGCTCCGATGCAGGCGACCTTCCGCAGGCCTTTGTGAGTCTTCCTTGGGAGTTTCTTGGTATGCCATCGACTCGTCACTCCTGCAGAAAGGCAGCCTTGAGGTTACAGGCAGGAGGGTGGACCTCTAAATGTCTGAGGCAGGGGTGCATTACTGCATTACTCCAGATGCAGCTGCCCTCCTTCACCATTAACCATACAGCTGGGGCTGCTGGAGTTTAATTATAGCTACCATACAGGTGGTCCTGGACTTACAACTGTAATTGGGATGGGAACTACCATCACTGAGTGAGTTGTCCTCAATTTGATGACTCTTTTTGTTGCTGGCTATTAAGCAAATCACCATAGTCATTAAGTGAATTACATAGTTATTAACTGAATCTGGCTTCCCCCTATGGGCTTCCTCCGTAGATTCTGCTTGTTGGAAGCTGTTCTGTCCCAGACAGAATAGGTTGCTTTAATTCCATCCAGACAGGCAGATAACTCAATGAAAATAAGCAAAGAAATATCGCTTTTATTTCTAGGAATTCTAAACAATAACTCACTGTTATGTAGAGATACATCCAGAAACATATTTCAGCAATATAGCTCATTCCACAGGTAATTTGATAATGGATTTTCCCCTCTTCTTCTGCATAACTCACATGTTGGCATAGGACCTCCAAGCCGTGGGGCTAGGAGCCATGAGGCTGGATGAAACAAAGGCATTCCAAACTGGCACGTAGCCAGTATGTCCTATAATGAGCTCAGAGGCTCCTACTACTACTGACCTGTTAACATGAGATAGCTAACTAGCTAAAACTACATTACCCATAAGCCATCTCTTAAGGAGACAGCACTTAACCCAATAAATGCCAAACATTCTAACATACAGACCTACATGCTCTAGTCAGGGTTACACAGGGTTAACCGATCCAGAACAGAAGCTATCTGGGAAAGTCGCAAATGAGGATCTCATGACCCCGGGACATGCAACTGTCATAATGCCAGTTGCCAAGATCTGAATTTTGATCACGTGGCAGCGGGGATGTGTAACTCATTGTTAAGTCACTTTCTGCAATGCCGTTATTACTTTAAACAGTCACTAAACGAATGGTTGTAAGCCAAGGACTATCTAGAAGGACAAAACAATCTAGTCTTCAGATGGAGAGGAAATGAATGAAGAATTAAAAGGAGAGTTTTAGAAAAAACAACTGAGAAAGTGAAAATCAGGAGAAATTCAAAACGCTTACAAGATTCCATTACTATGTTCTACCCTGCAATAAGAAAAAGCATCTTTGTAGTGTCAGACATTCCTCTTTCCTGACCTGGCCTTCTTTGATTGATGATCACAGGATCAGCATCCCTTTTTTAAAGAAGAAAAGGGGCTAAAAAAGAACAGGAGCAGTTTCCTCAAATTCGGAATTATGGAAGCATGTTGTAGGCACTCTCACAAAATGGCTGCCCTGATTTTTATTTCCTTTATATCCCTATGCCAACAGTCCTGCCAGCTGCCACAAACTGGTTTGTTCCCCCCTTTCCCCAGAATGCTCTCTACCAACTGCCTTTTAATGGCAAGTTGACCACAACATGGGGTGCAACCACTCACTAAAGGGGCTTAGTAGTCTCTTGATTCTCTTCTAAAATATTATTCCGGCAGAAAACATGGGATGCTCCAATCCAAGCTTTAAACCAATGTTTCTCAACTTTGGCAGGTTAAAGATGTGTGGATTTCAACTCCCACAATTCTCCAGCCAGTCATTTTAAATTCTTAAAAGAATTTGAAGTGGGGTTGAGGAGGGAACCTATCAGGCCCCAGGGAAGGTGTGGACATCTCTGGTCAGAAATAAATAAAGAAAAATCTACTTTTCCCCACATCTTGAATGGCTTCTGGAGTCATTCATCTGGAATGCAGTCTGTAGTCAGACCACTTCCAATCAGCCTTTGATCCAAGACGCTTCAGGGGTCCAGCTCTGCTGCCTCCTACCTTTCATCCCATGCCCTTTGGTGACTCCAATGACATCGATCATCTCATTCTGGCTGAAGACACTCTGCACGGCCACCTGCTTCTCCAGCTTCTCACGAGCCCAGTCAACTTTCTCTGCTACAGAGCCCCCATTGAGCTGGATCTCCATAATATGTGCTTTCTTCTGCCGCATTGGCAGGAGTTTCATCTGCAAACAAAAAAGCTCACAAATTGTACCCTGCAGCAGAGGGGGCAAAGGCTCATGATCAACACTTAACTGGCCACAAAGGGACTGAGCAGGAGATCCAGTCTCTCAGAACCTTCCACCTGTTTGCAGAATGTGGCTGTTGCAAAGGTTGGGACTTTGTGGCTGTCGTCTCATGACACACTTGAAAAGTTTAGTATGTGGGAATAGGTAATCTTAATTGTGTTTGGGATCGGGGAGCAGCATTTCATTTTGGGTTCATGTGCTCTCACTTGGCCAACTGCATTGTGGGAATACCAATGTTCAGTGAAAAAAGGGGACCCACTCAGTCCTCTGAAGAGAGAGTTGAGGCTATAGAAATTGGTTTGTAATGGAAAGTCTCCAATACAGAATTCACTGTCAAATGTTCCTTCACTGGCTGCAGGGAGAAATTTGGCCATCACTACAAGCACCTCAAACCAAATCACAAGAGAGAAACCCTTCAGCAGAGGCTCTCAAGCCTTAAGGAGGGCTGACATCCTCCTAAAGGTTAACATGCAATGCTCCAAGCACCACTCTTTCGAAGCATGCCCTGCAGGCCCTACATCAGGGGTCCTCAAATTGTGGCCCATGGGCCGGATGCAGCCCGCCTTGTCTTTTTATCCGGCTCGCTGGCAAACGTTGGGGGTCTAGTGCAGCACCGGACTTGCAGGGAGAGAGAGCAAGCTAAAGAGGCGCAGTGCAGGACTTGCCTTGAGATTGCAGGGCTGCTGGGGCCAGACAAAAGCCCCAGGATCGGCACTTCCGGTACACCCAGAAGAGAAGGGAGGAGGAGGGAGGAGACAGAGGAGGCTATAAAAGGCAGTTTTGGCAGGAGAGGGAGAGAGAAAAAAGACACAGCCTTGGGAGGAGGCTGGAGTTGCACCAAAGAGAAAAAAAGGGGGGAGGTAGAGAGCAGAGGAGATAAAACAGATCATCCGGTAGCCGATCTATAACTTTGTGTCAGCCATCTGTGCCGGGCAGGCACACAAGTTGCAGCAAAAAACAGGCAAGAAACGCAGCTGGGGAGGAGTCACCCTGCACGAGGAATGAAGAAAGGCACCATCGGCTGGCGGTGACCAGCAATTGGCCCTCGCCCACTTCACACATGCAGCTCTGTGGGCTCCGGGGGAGGAGATGCCGCGAGCGGAGTGAGAGTTGGCATCTGCCACCCAGCCCCCAGCCTGCCCGGTTTAGTTTGCTTTCACCCAGGACACCACATGCTGCTCGCTGCCTCCTGTGAGCACACCGAGGCAGGTTCAGCTTCTCGCTAGCTTTGCCTCGCCCAACCCAGCTTCTCCGTGCTGTGAGGAAAGTGCAGCGCTGCCTGCCGAAACCGGGCAGGCTGGGGGCTGTGCGGCAGATGTCGACTCTCACTCCGCTTGCGGTATCCCCTCCCCTAGAACCCACAGAGCCAGGTGTGTGAAGTGGGCAAGGGCCAATTGCTGGTCACCTTCAGCTGATGGTGCCTTTTTTCATTCCTCACAAAGGATGACACTTCCCCAGCTGCATTTCTTCCCTGTTTTTCTCCCTCCCTCATTGCAAATATCTTCCCACCACTCTGCTCTTAAGGCTCTATGGCTCTTGTCCAGGAATTTACAGTGGCCTTTCAAGCCTTGGCCACTGGCAGCCTCTCCCCATCCCCTTGTCCCTTCCTGGGCATGGAGGGAGGAAAGAAGGAGGTGGGAATGAGAAAGAGGGAGGCAGGTGAGGAAGGAGGGGAGGGAGGCAGGGAGGGAGGAAGGAAGGAGGGAGATTGGAATGAGAGGGAAGGAGGGTCTGAGGGAAGTCCTGCCTTAGTCCTACCCTGCTGCCCTTTTGCCATCCCCCTGCCCCCTCCTCCTGGCCTATCCTGGTGGTCTTTGGTTATAATCATTAATTTTTTTCAAACTATAGTCCGGCCCCCCAACAGTCTGAGGGACAATCAATGGCCCGTTTAAAAAGTGAGGACCCCTGCCCTACATGGTGAAGAGAGAAGGACTCTCAACTCTGCTCCAGGGTCTCCCAACCTGGACCTCTCATGGATAACCAGTAGGGGCTCTGAGGGGCTTCTTCATGTTCCTCCTGCACCTCCCTCTCCTTTGATGAAGTATGGCAGAGATGAGGGCTCTAGCCTGGAACAAAAGAGATCAGGAGGCACAAAAGTAGCCTATGAAATCACACATAGCTAAGAGAAGGGAGGAGAGATGCTTTTCTCTGTCTCTTGCAATGTTACATTCACTGTCATCTCATGAACATCAGGGCAGCGAGATTTAGGACTACAAAAAAATGAGTCCTATTTCTCCATTTCCTCAGGAATCATCCAATTCTTGTTGTGCCAGATTAATAGTAATGGGGACAGGCTTGTAACATTTCAATTATGTTGGATATCAAGCAGTGGATTTGTGAGGGTCCAGAAAAGAGCAAAACTATTACTAGAAACCAACATGGGTTTGCTAAAAATAGATCAGGGCTTTTCAACCACTGGTGCGGGTACCACCTGTAGTACATTGGCACCTGACAGGCGGTATACGAATGTTCTAGAAAAGTGGTAGCAGGAGAGGGGAATGAGCTGAACTGGTGGCAGCACCGCACAAGCCTGAGCGAGAGATGGCTGGAGCTGCAGGGCTGTCAGGGCTCAGAGGAAGCACCAGGATCAGTGTCGCTTTCCAGCTGATCGGCGCTTCTTTGGGGCTGTCGGCTCAGTGGAAGTGCCAGGATCAGCGCCAGGCTCCAGCTGGAGCTCAGCGCTGATCCTGGCACTTCTGCTGAGCCCAGAAGCACCGATTACCTGGATTGTTGCAGTATCTCCAGGGTCTTTTGGTTTACATTCAGATGCTTGGCAACTGATTCATATTTATGATGGTCACAGTGTCCCAGGGCCATGTGAAGTGACCAAAACCTGCTGCAACTACCCAGCAGACAGGTGAAATAAAAACCAAACCCCCCCCCACCCTGCCCTCAATCCTCAACAGAAATGCTCACAACAATGAAAACCTCGGACAGGAGGAAGAGTGCCGCTGGGTGGGCAGGCAGGTGTCTTGCTCGGCTGTGGCTTGGGGGGCACTTTTTTCAGTGCCACTGTAACTTCGAACAGTCACTAAGTGAACTGTTGTAAGTTGAGGACTACCTGTACTTTATCACTTTTTTCCTTTTTTTTTTTTTTTTGGTCATCAAGTTTTTGACACTTTGCTAGGCGACTGGTAGTACTCGGATATTGCCATATCCTAAAAGTGGCACAACGGGTGAAAAGGTTGAAAAGCCCTGAAATAGATCATGTCAAACAAACCTTGTTTGTTGTTTGTTGCCTTGTTTGATAAAGTAACTAAATTGGTGGACATAGTTTACTTCAGTAAGGCATTCTACAAGGTAGACCACAGCCTACCCCTTAATAAGACTGAACAATGTAGGATAGAGAGTTTCACCACCAGACGGATTCATAACTGGCTGACCAACTGCACTCAGCATGTAATCCTCAATGGAACTACATCTAAATGGAAAGAAGCATGCAGTGGGGAACCACAACTTCTGTCTTCGGCCTAGTACTCTTCAGTATCTTCATAAATGATTTTGGATGAGGGAATAGAAGGGGAACTCATCAAATTTGTAGACAACACCAAGCTGGTGGGAATAGCCAACAGTTTAGAAGAAAGGCTCAAGATCCAGAAGTATCTTGATAGCCTTGAATACTGGAAAAAGTAAGGTTTTACATTTAGGCAAGAAAAACCAAATGCACAGGTACAGAATAGGTGGTATGTGACTCAACAGCATCTAAGTGTCCAAGTGGACAACCACTTAAGTATGAGCCAGCAGTGTGCTGCAGCCACCAAAAAAGCCAACATAGTCCTAGGCTGCATCAACAGAGGGATAGTATCAAGATCACAGGAAGTGTTAGTATTGCTTTATACTGTACTGGTAAGGCCACAGTTGGAATATTGCATCCAGTTCTAGTCACCATGATATAAAAAAGATCTTGAGACTCTAGAAAGAATGCAGAAAATAGCAACAAAGAAAAAGAAACAAGCAAAAAGTCTGGAGGATAAACCATACAATGAATGGTTGCTGAAACTAGATATGTCTAGTCTACTGAAGAGAAGGACCAGGGATGACATGATAGCAGTCTTCCAATATTTGAGGGGTTGCCACAGAGAAATGGCAGTCAACCTATTCTCAAAAACACCTAGAGCCGGACAAGGAGTAATAAGTAGAAGATGATTATAGAGAGATCAAATCTAGAATTAAGGAGAAATTTCCCGTAAGAGAGAACAGTTAATCAGTGGAACAGCTTGCCTCCAGAAGTTCTGGGTGCTTCTTCAAGATCTTCAAGAAGAAATTGGACAATCATTTGTCTGGAATGCTATTGGATCTCCTGCTTGAGTAGCAGGTTGGACTGGAAGACCTCCAAGGTCCCTTCCAACCCCATTATCCCATGTTCTGTGTACTATGTGAGGTTGCTATGAAGATGTTGTAGTGAGGAAATTGCTTAAATTAGAATGGTGCGATTTCTTGCCATCAGTTGTTATCAGGTGGCTGGAAAAGAGATCTGGGTGAATACCTGGAGGACCAGCTCCTAAGACCACTAAAACCGAGGTGCTTGTCCCTCCCCCACCTTGGCATCAGGCCTTCAAGGATGCTGTTGCACAGGGACAGCAAAGAGGGCTCCCACCTCCATTGTTCACTTGGGGGTTTCCTCAATGCCTCCAGTGGGCCACTGTGTGACCCAAAAGTGGACTAGTGAGGCTGCCATCATTTGAAGGACTCCTGAAAGCAGCAGCAGCTTTTTTCAAACTGAGGCGGAAGGCCCCCCCCCCCCCCAACTCAAATGGCAGGCTGCTTTAGTGACTTACAGAGCGGGGCTCTATTCATGGGAGGTCTGGAGGTCTTCTTCAGCCAGGACCTAGACTTTGCAGTGCTAACCACAAATGACTGGATTCTCTGTTTTGGCTTCACTTACACACACAGTGTTTGTGCTTCTTAATCAAAACCAGAAGTGAGAGGGAGGGATAGCAACCTCAGCTGTCCATCAGGGTGAAGAATTCAGTACTGAAGATGAAACCCATGTTGCATAACAGACAATATCTGGCAGTGAAGTCTTTGTCCAATCAAGCAGAAACAACCAGCAACAAATCATGAGTGAGTTTGACTTGCCAGTGGGCAAGACAACCCTCCTAGGACATGTGGAAAATGTTCACCTGGGTGTGCACAATGACACGGATGATCTTGCAGTACTTCTTCATGGACACAAAGTCCTTCTCCAGCTGCTTCTTCCCAGCCTCATCTTGCCATTTCTTGCAGTACTTGGTGAATGCCTTCTTTTTGCTCTTGTGCCTGAAAAGAAAAGGCAGGGAAAATCAGCCAACAGATCCAAGATCAACTGGAATTATTTCGAACCAGGCTTTCCCAAGAAAACAGTGAGAAGCCTGTCCTGATATTCACCGCCAGCCTCCCTAGTTTGAGACCAGGAGAGCGAGAAGCCACTTGCGCCAGTGGGAACCTACCAATCCACGGACAGTGGGGCTCAACTTCAGGTTCTTCGGGGAAGGGCTGGAGCACTTCCCAGAAGGCCAAGTCCTATCCAAGCCCCCAGACATTACAGTCAGGTAATACCCATAATTCTGAGACTGGTTTATGAAAACATTGAACTGATATTCTGATTTATCATAGAGGTTTACAATACAGGGGCTGTGTTCAACCAGTTAAACAACAAACCCTTTTAGTGGAAGTCTCACATGTGAGAATTGAGCTTTATTTTAATCATGCTGAATATACTTAAGAAAGTTACTGTTCCTCATCCATCACAACTTGGAGCCACTCTTGGCTACCAAAGTCATACCAAAGGCTGAAGGAAAATACCTACAATCTTACAGAACCCCTGGGTGTGTATTCATAATTGCATGCTTAGCCCACAAAGCATTTCCAAAGCACAGCTATGAGCCAATGTTTTCCTGTTTAAGCAGGGCTTTCCCCTTGCTCACTCACACTGACCCCCTCCTCACCAGTTCCTGTAGAAGCGTCTTCGGCATTCATCACTTATATGTTCTGCAAAGATGGTCTTGAAATTTCTCAGCCCCCTTGGTGTCTCGATATAGCCCACTAGCCCAACGACCACCAATGGCGGAGTTTCAATGATAGTGACAGCTTCCACTTCCTCTCGCTTAGAGATTTCTGGAGATTAAAGGGGGGAAAAGACTGAGGATGTGATCCAGGAAGGCTTCATGGTGGGGCTCCGATATCCAACTAAGCCATAAGGTGGTTTCTTTTCCAAACCATTATTTATAGTTTTTTAGAAGGGGATATATAAAGCCTACCACTGTAAAATATAAATCATGGGTTATGGCTAAATTGTTGCAAAAACCCAGCCAATTGAGGTTTGTTCAATTAACAAAAAGCAAACACAGACAAGCACAATATTTATGCAGCTCACTGTATTTCCTATTTGATATCCATTGGTGAGGGCCTCTTTCCACACCAGCATTCTCAAACCATGCACCCTCTGGACATGGGTGGCAGTCCTAACAATTTGGGAGAGGCTGGTTTGGGTGGAGTTTTCTAAAAAGAAAAGAATTCCACACACTAAGTCACATGGAAATGTCTACTATCAGTGTTTCCATTTCCCACAGGTATCAGATACTTCCATTCTGTTCTGTATTGGTCAGACCTTACCTCGAATACTCTACCCTAGTCTGAGCACAATATTCTAGGAAGGACTGAAAGTGGAAGAGGTTAAAGGGAGGAATGAGGAAGATTAGAGGCCTTAGGAAGAGCTAGATCAAAAGAACTGGGTATGTTTGGCCTTGAGAAGAGACCTGTGGTGGAATGCAGTCTGGATTCCCAGTAGGGAAGGGCTGCATTTCAAAGAGGCAGTGGAGCACGGAAAGTTTGGTCGGGGGGGGGGGGAAAGAGGGTTAAAACGGCTCCCCCTCAATGATTTCCAAAGTATATCCATAGTGATACAAATAGTTGTTTTATTCTGGCAAGATTTCATCTGTAAGTGAAAAGCAATACAGGAAACTTCTCAGAAGTTAACTCCAGATGTGCTTCCTGGTTCTTGGGGCCTCATAAGAAGGCTGAAGCTAAGGATGGAACATGATAGCATTTTTCAAGTCCCTGGAGATCCTGCCAGCATGCAGGACATGGCATAACCTGGGTCCTGGGGCAAAGACAGAGCTTTGAGTCCTGTATGTGGCTAGGAGAGCATCAGGAAACCTGGGTGGTAACTAGACAAAAAGACAAAAGAGAACAACAGCAAACCACTTCCCTAAGTACACAGATGTAACCAGGAGTGGAACTTACCGTGTGGAGGAGGAGGAACAACTTGATATTAAATTTGAAAATGAACTCCTACAAGAAAGAGTAGCTTATACCTAAGGAAATACCTAACAGAGAAACTAATACCTAAGGAAACAGTGATCTGCCCTTCTCTGGATGAGTTCAAGTAGAAGCCTGATTGTGGGCCACTTGTCAGACCTGCTCCTGATTTGCCCCTTCCAGTTGCTGAGGTCTATGAAACTTTCTAAGTGAGGAATAGAATGAAACAAACTTGGCACATACTTAGTCCTGATCTATGAAGTTCCCGCAGGATGTGAGTCATGCCAGCTTTATAGCCCAGGAAGGCGGTCAGGTGGACTGGTTTGCTGGGATCATCCTTGGGCCAACTCTTCACTTTTCCTCGATGTCGGCGGCTCCTCTTATGAGGAAGGAAACCCAAGTGGCCGTGCCTGGGAGCTGAAAACTTCCGATGAGACTAGAAAGGTGGGGGGAGTTGGTGGGAAGAGCGACTAGTTACTTCTACGATTTTGCAAAGATCATGAAAACCTTGTCAGAGAAGGCAGGAAGTAAAAGTCCCAACACATCTGGAGCAGAATGGCATAAAAAAACTAGAGCAATTTGGATGACAGATGGGCTACTGAAACCTTAAGCCACGTTTTATTATTTGTTCTTTGTTGGTAGCCCCGCACTTGAACAAGCTCCCTAGTTGTCCCAACTAGTTCTGTTTACAATTTTTACTTTTAGATACACGTGATTCTGTTATTTTCAATATAGTAAATTTTATATGTAAAATGCATAGCAATATGCCTAATTTATTTTATGATATTTTCTTTCATATAGGTAACCAATTTATAGTATAAAATTTTGCTACATATTTTTATTGAATGCAATAGAGATACTATTCCATTCCAGATAGAGGAAAGTCTGCTCCAGATGGGAAATCCTCTATTTTTAACTTTAGTAGTTCTCACAACAAAGAAAGGGGTTTCTCCGCCCTGTTCATACTAAGTAAACAAGCAAGCAAATTCAGCAAAACTTACTGAATCCCCCCTCCCCCTGGCTCAAGTTACAAATGACTAAACTATGGCATCAAATATTACTTTGTTAGTTGCTACTCTAAGAACTGGGACAGCCCAGATCTTAACAGGTTGCGCAGGCAATTCTGCCTGTGACTTGCATTCGCACCAGAGGCCCCTTTCCTCTCTCCCAATGAGATTCCCACTTGGAGGGGTTTATGAAATACTTTAAACAAAGATGACCAGATGGCTCCAGAACATTTCAATAATTCTGTATATTATTTCCAAGATGCTGTGTTCCTCCCCCTCCCCCTGCTTAAACTGTGATCAACAGAGCCTTGCAGCAGAATAACAGAGTTGGAAGGGGCCTTGGAGATCATCTAGTCCAGTGGTGGTGAACCTATGGCATGCGTGCCAGAGGCGGCACTCAAAACCCTCTCTATGGGCAAGTGTGCCGTCGCCCCAGCCCCGCCTCCCCACACGGCCCTCTCCTTACCAGCAGCCCCCCCAGAGGACAGTCGCCCCCACGCGCAGCCCACACAGAGCAGCGCAGCCAAGGACATGGCAGCTGGGCAGCAGAGACAAGACTCCACCCTTGCGCCCCACTGCACGCAGTTGGTGCTGTGGGGCACGGGTGGATGGTGTGGCCGCCATGGTGCTGCTGGGCCACCTGGGCAATCTGGCAATCTGGTAGGCCATGGAGGTGGTGAGTGGCCCTGCGGGTGGGCGGGTGCGGGGCGGGTGGGATGGGGGAGGGGGGTGGGGCCAAGTTTTGGGCCCTAGGTCTCTACAAGGTTTGCCATCACTGATCTAGTCCAACCCCCTGCTCAAGCAGGAAACTTATGCCATTCTGGATAAATGTTTGTCCAGTCTCTTCTTAAAAACCTCCAGTAAATAAAGCACCCACAACTTCTGGAGGGAAGCCGTTCCACCGACTGATTGTTCTCACTGCCAGAAATTTTCTTCCTAGTTCAAAGAGTTCTTACTTTTCCTTTTAGTAACCAATCACATAAGGAGGAAGTAGAGAAAAAAGAAATAAAAAAGAAAAACATAATGAAATAGAAAGTGATGGAAAGGATAGAAATCCCAGTTACAAAGTAGGAGATACAAGAAACATACTGTCAGAATCCAATTATATTTCATCTTTAATTATCAAACATAGAAACTCCCAATTCTGCCTTCTCTGGATTCTGCCTTAAGAGGGAGAAAAGGGGGAGAGCAAAGGGGCTTTATGGCCCTCACTTCCTTCAGCACACTTCAAAGGACTGAATGTATGTTTATTGTGGCCTCTAAGCGTTAACATATCAAAGAAGAGTAATTGCCTTTCATGTAGTTATCTGAAGTCTCCATCCAGACGGAAGAAGAAAGGGGATGGAATTGTGATACTTGAAACTATCACTGGAAGGGGGGTTGAGTGGGTGGGACTACTGGGGAACCCCTTAAAACCTTGAATGGGAGAGCTTGAACCCCAAGTCCTGTCTAGCATGCCTGCAACCATTTTATCTTAATAAAGGATTCCTGTTGGAAGAATTATTCCAAGAGTTCTGTCTTCTTAAGATGCAAAGTGGGGTGGGTCCTTACATTAGACAGGACTTGCAAAATTAATCCACCTGGAAGGAAGACCCTTGCCGGGGGATTTTGCAAAAATTTACCATGTCAGACAATGGAGCAAGAGAGGGGGAAAACTCCCTGGAAAGAGAGCCGCTGACCCAGTTGGAACCTTGCCAGATGTTGGGATCCGAGAGGCCAGATTCCTCAGGAGAAGAAGTGGTGGAGACACAGGACCACAAGCCTCGCTGGTCGATGGGCGTTGGAAAGAAAAGTGAGTGGGGAAAGGAATCAAGAAAGGTGACCCTGAGACGGGGGACCAAGCAACCAGAATGGAAGCAGGAGATGGAGAAATCCCTGCACGCAAGTGAAGAGGGAGGAAGCTGGGCACCGTACTCAGACTGGATCCTAGAGAAAGCTATTGACCTGATGAAGAGAACTCTCAGCTCCCTAGGAGAGGAGAATACTGAACCCTACGGCTGCCCCAGTTCCTGGAGCCGCAAAGGGAGAGACACCGAGGGGGACGTGGAACCTGCAACCCCAGGGACATCTACTGATCCAGGAGCTCCCACCCCCTACCGGACCACAGATGGCAATCTGGACGGAAGGCACTACCACCCACAACAGAGGCACCAATCCATTCCAAGACGTCCACCGTTGGAAGTGAAATTCAAAGGGGAGCCAACACGCTTGGGGTTTTTCCTAACCCAAGTCCTCAGCTACATGGAGGAATATGGGCAGGATATTCCCAGCGACAAAGCCCGCATCCGGATCGTGCAATCTGCCCTGGATGGACCAGCTGCGGATTGGGTAGTGAACTTGCATGACTCCAATGCCCCAGAACTCAGTAACTTCAACCGTTTCATGTCCTCTTTGAGAAGACGATTTGAAGACCCCCTGGCTGATCGCAAAGCCCGTGAAAGAATAACAACGATGAGGCAGGGCAAACGCCCAGTGGCTGAGTATACACAAGAATTCCGGGCCATTGCCAGCAAACTGAATTGGCCAGAAGACATCCTCCTTGGCCATTTCAAAGACGGACTAAACTATGATCTATATGATGCTTGCCTGCCCCGAGGGGACCCACATCGACTTGAGGAATGGTACGTCTTGGCAGAGGAAGCAGAGATCGACATATTGAAGAGGCACCGCCGAGGAAAACAATGGAGCCGCCCCCCGCCTGAGCTGACACACCAACCGGTGAAATCATCGGATACAGCCAAGAAGCAAATGAGATGTTTCAAGTGCGGAAGAGAAGGGCATCGAGCTGTAGAATGCCGCTCAAAGGCCCCCCAGCACAACCCAGACAGATCCCCAATCAACAAACCCGGAAAGTATTCAGCTAAGCCAAAAGAAACGGCCATGAGAATGATGGAAATTGCAGAAACCCCCACCTCTGCTCACCAAGGGGAAAGGACTCCAGCCTACACCACAGGGCCGGTGGATGCCTCAGATGACAGCTCGGAGGGCGAACCCCTGGTAAGTGGATGCATCACACCCATCTTCAAAACAGTGACTATATTAATCCCCCCCATGCCCGAAGCTGTGAAGGTGAAAGCCTTAATAGACTCTGGCTGTACCCGCTGCCTCATTAGCCCAACACTAGTGGGGAATCTGGGCATCCCATCCAGGAGACTGGAACAACCAATCTCATTTGGCCAGCTAGATGGATCCATAGCAGGGGGGGTGCCAGCTACCCTAGCCACTTTGCCAATACATCTCTCCCTGGGCAACCATGAAGAGGACTTAACGTTTGTGGTGACCCCAGGTATGGAATGCCCAATGATTCTAGGGATGGAATGGTTGAAAAAATGGAACCCCTGGGTAAATTGGAGGACGACAGAAATCAAATTCCCGAAGGGGGACCCTATGGACTTAAAACCCCAAGGGAGGCTACCAGAATCAAGAATAGAAAAAGCATCCATAGGAGAGGAAAAAAGATTAACAGAAATACCAGAGGAATATAGGGACCTTGCTGAAGTCTTCAGTGAGGAGAGGGCGAATGAGCTTCCCCCCCACCGACCCACAGACTGTACCATTGAATTCAAGCCTGGGGCAAAACTCCCGAAGCCCAGATTATACTCCATGAGCCCAAAGGAGAAGGAGGAAATGGAAAGATTTATAAAAAAAAACCTGGAGAGAGGTTTCATTGAGCCAGCCAAGCCTAAAGTGGCTGCCCCGGTCCTTTTTAGAGAGAAGAAGGATGGCTCTTTACGTTTATGCGTGGATTATAGGGCCCTGAATACAATCAGTGAAAGCAACCTATACCCGCTGCCCCTCATGAAAGACATGCTGTCACACCTATCGAAAGGGAAAATTTTTTCTAAACTAGACTTAAGGGAAGCTTACTATCGAGTAAGAATCAAGGAAGGGGACGAATGGAAGACTGCATTTAACTGCCCCATGGGGTGCTATCAATTCAAAGTCTTGCCATTTGGATTACAAGGGGGCCCTGCAGTCTTTATGCAATTAATCAATGACGTTCTAAGGGAGCACCTGTTTAAGGGGGTCCTTGTTTACTTGGACGACATTCTTATCTTTACCGAAACAAAAGAAGAACACGTCAAACTTGTCAGAGCGGTTTTAAAGAAGCTGCGAGCCGCTCACCTATATGCCAAACTCTCAAAATGCGAATTCCACCAGGAAAGGATAGACTACCTAGGCTATCGCATATCCCCACAGGGCATTGAAATGGACCCAGAGAAGGTCAGAGCAGTATTAGAATGGGCACCACCCCGCACAAGAAAGCAACTACAAAGTTTCCTGGGCTTTGCAAATTTTTACCGCCAATTCATCCCCTCATTTGCACAGATAGCCTTGCCCCTCACTAACTTACTAAAAACGAAGGGAACATCCTCAGTAAAACCTAGCCAGCCACTAAAATGGACAATGGAGTGCCAAGCAGCGTTTGAGAGACTAAAGAGACTTTTTTCTGCCGAACCAGTACTAAGGCACCCAGACATGGACAAACCCTTCATAATACAGGCAGATGCAAGTGATGTGGCAGTGGGGGCTGTGCTATTACAAGAAAATGATGATGCAGTATTGCAACCCTGTGCATATACATCTAAGAAACTCACGGAAACAGAACAGCGCTGGCCCGTATGGGAGAAGGAGGCTTATGGGATACGTTGGGCATTACTCACGTGGCGACAGTTCCTGGAAGGCAACAAAATCCCCTTCCAGGTATGGACTGATCACAAAAATTTAGAAGCCCTGAAAACTTCCAGGAAACTCAATCCCAAACAAGCCCGCTGGTCCCAGCATTTTCATCAATTCCAATTTAAGCTCAAACATTTACCAGGAAGAAAGAACTTCCTGGCAGATGCACTATCTCGCATGCCCCAATATAACAGCGCACGAACCACAGACTCTAGACCAATAATGGCAGAGTCACAACTGGCAGCGCCAGTAACCACAAGAACCCAAGCCAAAATAAAACCACAACTGGACAGCCAAACTGGGATTGAATTCAGAAAAAGTTTGGAAACAGATGATTGGTTCCAGAAAAACAAACATGTGTGCACAATGAGAGACGGATTGCCTTGGGTAGGGGAAAAGTTATATATACCAACAACTCAAAGACTAACTTTCATGCAACTTTGCCATGACACAAAATCAGCAGGGCATTTTGGATTTGTAAAAACTTTACACTTAATTAAACGGCAATTTTGGTGGCCATCAATAAAAAAGGACATAGAAAGTTATGTTGCCAGCTGCCCAACCTGTGCATCAGCAAAGAGGTTGCAAGGGAAATCGCCAGGGCTGTTACAACCAGTGGCAAGTCCCTCAGCCCCCTGGAGGGAAATAGCCATGGATTTTATAGTGGAATTGCCTGAAAGCAATGGGAATACTGTTATCTGGACAGTCACGGACCTATTTTCCAAACAGGTGCACTTTATCCCTTGCCAAAAAATTCCCACTGCAAAGGCCTTAGCAAAACTTTTCATCCAGCACATTTACAGATTGCACGGGGCACCCCAACGCATCATCTCTGATAGGGGAGTGCAATTTACGTCTGCACTGTGCGTGCAGAAGCCCCGAAGCTATTGAAGAAGTTTCACACAGAGTATCCTAACAAGCCTAACTAAATTTTTTACTTGTGTTTTCTTTCAGGTGGATCTCTCTTATTGTTAAGAGGGGCCGGATGTCAGAATCCAATTATATTTCATCTTTAATTATCAAACATAGAAACTCCCAATTCTGCCTTCTCTGGATTCTGCCATAAGAGGGAGAAAAGGGGGAGAGCAAAGGGGCTTTATGGCCCTCACTTCCTTCAGCACACTTCAAAGGACTGAATGTGTGTTTATTGTGGCCTCTAAGCGTTAACATATCAAAGAAGAGTAATTGCCTTTCATGTAGTATCTGAAGTCTCCATCCAGACGGAAGAAGAAAGGGGATGGAATTGTGATACTTGAAACTATCACTGGAAGGGGGGTTGATTGGGTGGGACTACTGGGGAACCCCTTAAAACCTTGAATGGGAGAGCTTGAACCCCAAGTCCTGTCTAGCATGCCTGCAACCATTTTCTCTTAATAAAGGATTCCTGTTGGAAGAATTATTCCAAGAGTTCTGTCTTCTTAAGATGCAAAGTGGGGTGGGTCCTTACACATACCAAGACCAATAAAGGACTCAAATGCCTGTACACGAATGCTCAAAGTTTAGGGAAGAAGCAGGGTGAACTTGAAGTATTAGTACAAGAGGGCAGATACAATATAGTTGCCATTACTGAAACATGGTGGGATGAAACTCATGACTGGAATGTATTGATGGAAGGATATAAACTATTCAAAAGAAACAGACCCAACAAAAGAGGAGGTGGAGTTGCATTATACATAAAAGATCACTACATCTCTACAGAAATAAACAAAACCAAGGATGAAAACCTCATAGAATCCATATGGGTTAATATAAAAGGAAAAAAGAATGACATTGCTATAGGAGTATACTACAGGCCACCCAGCCAAGCAGAAGAAATAGATGAACTCCTTGCTAATCAATTAACAAATGTATGTAGAAACATACCACAGTAGTAATGGGAGACTTTAATTACCCTGATATCAACTGGAAGACAAACTCTGCAGCAAGTGGGAGATCAAACAGATTCCTAACCAACTTAGCTGACAGCTTTGTCACCCAAAAGGTAGAAAAGGGAAGTAGAAAAAAAGCTATACTGGGCCTAATAGAGAAGAAGCGATAGAAGGAGTTGAAATTGCCGGAATCTTGGGCAAGAGTGATCACGTCATACTGGAATTCTATATAATGCAAACACAAGCAATAGAATATAATCCAACCAGTGTCCTAAACTTTAAAAGAGCTGAGTTTAACAAACTCAGGGAGAGTCTAAGCAAAATTTCATGGATAAAAATCCCAAAGGGGAAAACAACTCAAGAAGCATGGGAAACACTGAAAAATACAGTCATAAAAGCCCAGTCCAACATAATACCACTAAAAAAGAAAAACAAGAAATCCAAGAACAAAACCAACATGGTTGCACAAAGATCTCTCTGATAAACTGAAAGACAAAAAGGATAAGTACAAAAAATGGAAAGAGGGACACATAATTAAGGCAGAATATCAGCATTTAGCCTGAATCTGCAAAGATGAAGTCAGGAAAGCAAAGGCTCAGAATGAACAAAGACTTGCAACAAAAGTCAAAGATAATTTAAAAAGTTTCTTTCAACATATTAATAACAAAAAAAGGTCAAGGAAACAGTTGGTCCACTAAAGAGAGAAGATGGCAAAGAAGTAATAGGCGGTAGAGAGAAAGCACAGCTGCTTAACTCATTCTTTGCATCAATCTTCACACAAAAAGAAACTATAGCCCAACCTACCAAAAACATAACTGTAAAAGACAGACTAGAAATAAAAATTAAAATAAGCAAGAGAATACCTGTCTGACCTTGATGAATATAAATCGCCAGGACCTGATGGATTCCCATCTTCAAAAAAGGGGAAAAAAACCAGACACAGGAAACTATAGGCCAATTGACCGAATATCAATATATGGGAAGATATTGGGGAAAATATTTTTTAAAAAAAACAGATCTGTGAACATCTAGAAACAAATAAAGAAAGTTATAACTAGTAGCCAGCACGGGTTTCTTAAAAACAGATCATGCCAAATCAATCTTATTTCATTCTTTGATAAAGTGACTAAATTAATAGAGCAGCGAAATGTTGTGGACATAGTATATTTAAACTTCAGCAAGGCATTTGGTAAACTAGACTACAACCTACTTCTTGGTAAGCTAAAAAAATGTGGGATAGACAACATCACCACCAGATGGCTTTGTAGCTGGCTGACAAACCGTATTCAATGAGTAGTCCTTAACGGTACTACATCTACATGGAGGGAAGTAAGCAGTGGGGTGCCACAAGGTTCTGTCTTAGGCCCAGTACTCTTCAATATCTTTATAAATGACTTAGATGAGGGAATAGAAGGGGAACTCCTGCAAGCCATTGCTTTCAGACACTGACTCCCCCCTACCTCAGCCCCCCAGCCCCACCGAAGGCCATGCCCATTGCTTGCCCGTACCATGATCTGACGTCTTCAGCCGACTGGACTGCCGAGAGAGAAAGAGGCTACCAGCAAGTGCCTGGCTTACCTAATGCCAAAGATGTTTCTCCCTCCCCAAAACATAAATTTAGCAGCTGGCTTCATTCTGGTGTACTATCCATTTCACCCTCGGGAGGGTTGATGGGTCAAGCACTGCCTGGAGAGAGGGAGGGAGAGAGAGGAAAGGTCACTGTAGACAAATTTATCATCCACCACCAATTCTACTTCTTGGTGGAGCCCACCCCAGAGCCAAGCAGGAAGCCCACGGAAAGGGGAGCCTCTTCTGCCCCTTTGCTGTTCAGCCCAGAGCCCAGAGAAAATGGGCTCCCCTGGGATGGGCATGCAGCCCCCCCCCAATGGCTTTGTCTAAAAAAGTGTCCTGCACAAAGGTTTCTCTTTTATCCTACTGAAGAAACAGTTCAGCAATTTCTCCCTGTGACAAGTCTTCCTTCCAATCTAAAAAACACCCCCCTCTGGCCAAAAGGAAGTGTGCTTCTGCCAGGCTCTCAAGATACAAGAGTTCTGGGGGTTCCTTTCTGTACATTCAGATTTTTCAGATTAAAAGGATTTATAGTCAACTATGCAAGCATCGAAAGTTTTTTTTTCTAAAAGTCAAAATGTTTAAATCCTTAATTTCAAAATGTCAAGCTCAGCATCAAGGGATAGCGTGAGAAACTCATAAAGAGATAGTGGAGCCAGGAATCTGTACGGAGGCATTTTCTATGGTTTATTAGCGCCGGAATAAATAAAAAAAATCAACACGGCCACATTCCAATTCTCCCAATTCTTCATCCAAAAACATGTTCTGAATACACACTCCATGCCAATAAATCAAAGTACCAGAATTTTGCCTAGAGTGCTACATAAATACATATTAATTGGGTTAAAATGCAGTATTGCGGGCTGATTCTGCTGACTGCCGACTGCCAGCAGTTTGGCAGTTCGAGTCTCACCAGCTCCAGGTTGACTCAGCCTTCCATCCTTCCGAGGTGGGTAAAATGAGGACCCAGATTGTTGGGGGCCACAGGCTGACATTTGTAAACTGCTTAGAGAGGGCTGTAAAAGGATTGTGAAGCGGCATATAAATCTTAGTGCAATTGCTATTGCTATTAAAAATTGTTCTCAATGACAGTTCATATTTTTATAAACTAAAAATTATTTCTTAATTTGAAGTATTTAGAATGTGTATAATTTCCAAGCAAGATAGTAAATTAGTTCAAATGATTTAGAATTTAAGATCTGCAGGGAGTAACAGTTGTCCCTCACCTGAGAGAACAATCAATCAATCCAACAGTGAGGGCATGAGGGCCTTTACAGTAATCCTTGACTTACAACCACAATTGAGCCAAAAATTTGTTTCTAAGCAAGGCAGTTGTGAGTTTTGCTCCATTTTATGACCTTTTATGCCACAGTTGTTAAGCGAATCACTGCAGTTGTTTAGTGAATTGCATGGTCGTTAAGCAAATCTGGCTTCCCCCCTGGACCTTGCATGTCAGAAGCTGGCTCGGAAGGTTACAGGCGGTGATCACAGGACCCCCAAGACAGCGGAGCTGCCCTCAATACGTGCCGGTTGCCAAGTGCCTGGATTTTGATCCTGTGACTGTGGGGATACTGCAGTGGTCGCAAGCAGTGGTGGGATTCAAATAGGGGAACAAATGGTTCTTTGTGTGGGCACCGCTTCCAGAAGTCCATTCTGGGCCTGGGTAACAAAAAATTAGCTACCGGTTCTGCCTAAGTGGTGCGAACTGGCTGAATCCCACCACTGGTCACAAGTGTGGAAAACAGGTCAGAGGTCACTTTTTCACTTCCGTTATAACTTCAGATGGTCACTACAGAAATGGTTGTAATTAGAGGACCTCTTGCACTTATTTAATCAGACCTGTAAAAGGGAGGTAGGGAACTGTAACACTGGGGAAATAACGGCAACCTGTATTAAAAGATTAGTGTTGATCAAAAAGTGGAGCAGGACGGGTTTATCGACAAGCAAGACAGTTCTCTATCTTTGCTACAGAGGAGAGAGAGAGAGAGAGACAGAGAGAGAGAGAGAGACGCCTCCCTGACCGATTGGCCGGCGGAAAGAGAAAGCAGTCTCGCTAGTGTGCGCATGCGCACTCGTCTCTCGCCGCCATTTTGTCCGGTCAGGCGTTCCAGAGGCTGCGGCGATGTCGAAGGACTCGGAGCGGGCCGCGTATAATTTGCCCCCGGTCGACGTTCCGAAGCCTGAGCCCCCGGTGCCGTCTTCCGGCCCGACCCTCTTCTTCGAGAAGCTCTTTTACTACACGGTAGACAGACCGGTCACCCTGTACAGAGGTGAGGAGGAGGGGCAGGAGCTCCAGGGAGGGTGGGGCGGTGCTTTTGCGACTACAACTCCCGTCATCCTCCGCCATAGCGGTTGGAAGGCGGGGCGGGGCTTCTTTCAGGTGTGTGGACTTCAGCTCCCACAATTCCGCAGCCTGCATGGCTATCGGTGAGGATTCTGGGAGCCGACGTCCATGTACCCTGCAGTTGCCAAGGTTGGACTGACCGGCTCCGCTCCAGCTGCGGCGCCTTCCCCGCTGGACCAATGGGGGGGCGGGCGGGGAATTCGGAGTCAGCTGGCCCCCTGGCTGGTTTGCCCTGGAGAGCGGGGCATGGAGGTGGGGAGCAGCCTCGGCAGGGCGGCCTTTCCACGGGGGCTTCCTGGAAATAAGGCCCACTGAGGGCATTTAGGATTGAATTGCCTTCTTGCTTTCCTAGGAGGTGAAGAATATCGGAAGCCACTTCTTTCATTTCTATCAATCTTCAACTTTCTTTTCTTGCACCTTTTGCTTTTTCTTTGATTTCTTTTTATTTCTTATTTCTTCCTTACTATATATTAGTTTCTTAGTATTTATCTTTACAATTTAATACAAATTGTATACAAAAAAGGGCAAGCTGTCTTAAGGGCCTAGAGATCACTTCATCTTTAGGTAGGTAGGTAGGTAGGTAGATGATAGAGAGATAGATAGATAGATAGATAGATAGATAGATAGATAGATAGATAGATAGATAGATAGGCAGACACAGACAGACAGACAACCTTTATTGTCATTTTTTTCCTGTGGTCACAATGGCACACATTAAAAATGAAATTTAGTTGCTTCCTCTCAAAATGTACATATACATAACAAACATAACAAATGTAAAACATACTATATATGACATATGTATAGATCAGGATGTTCAAATTGGCCCTTTTATGACTTGTGGACATCAACTCCCAGAATTCCTCAGCCAGCATGCCTGGCTGAGGAATTCTGTGAGTTGAAGTCCACAAGTCATAAAAAGGCCAAGTTTGAAGACCTCTGGTATAGATCTACACCCTTACATATAAGTAACATAAATATTATTCACTGTCCATCTTGAATACATAACGGAAGGAGGAAGCTTTAGATTAAAAGATCTCTCTAGCTCCTGTCTTGAATAAGGTTACTTTTTCTTTCAACAGAATGGATTGAACGCCAGCGTGCAAACAATAAAGTTTATTACTATCATCGGGAGTTCCGTCGTGTGCCAGACATTACAGAATGCTTGGAGGATGACTACTTGTGCATCTACGAAGCTGAGATGCAGTGGAAAAGAGATTTGTATGTCTGTATCTTTTCACAGTTCCAGTCTCTTGCCAAATGATCTGTTATGCAGGCCATCATTAACTACAGCCTTATGTGCTTAAATTGCTTGAAGTATTTTGTAGCCTGCTAAGTAACTAGCAATACAGTCAGCAGTTAAAATATGGCAAGCTTGGAAATATAGGTAGAGCCACAGGTACTCCAAGAGAAAAGTCCAAAATGTCCTAGGATCAGGTTTTTTTCCTGAGCTTATAAATTACAGTGGTGGAACAAATAAGAAAGGAGAAGAGCAGAAAGCTCATCTTCCAAAGGGGGTCCTCTTCAGTCACAAAGGTGTGTACAGGACAATGAGAAGTGGTTCCTTTTCTACCAGGTTGGTCCAATCTTCAGTATTTTATCTAATGCAAACATTTTGTTTGAAGGTAGAATACCGTGTATATAATAGTAAGGCTGGTAAAGATTTGTTAGTGGTTCAAACCTCACATGAGCCATCTTTCCAGTGGGCATAAGCCTAAAAAGAGGCTGCTTTAAGTTACAGTAAAAGGACACTGAGCTTGCAGGGCTAACTGGAGGAGTAAATATGTTTATTACAGCATTCTCCAAATCTGTTTGATAGACAAGTTGACCAGGAAATTGTGAAAATCATACGGGAGAGACTAGGAGCTTGCAGAGTCCGGGAAGGCGTGAATGCCCCTGAAAATTGTGCAACGGACCTACAGCTATTTAAAGATGTGGCCAAAGCTTATAGGGATCGATGTAAGTCAACCATTTTTTACATTAAACTATGTAAAACCAAATCCCATATTCTAGGCCAGGGCTTTTCAACCAGTGGTACAGGTACCACCTGTGATACATTGGCACCTGGCAGGTGGTACACGACCATCCTAGAAAAGTGGTAGCAGGAGAAGGGAATGAGCTGAACTGGTGGCACCGCACAAGCCTGAGCGAGAGATGGCTGGAGCTGCAAGGCTGTCAGGGCTCAGCGGAAGCACCAGGATCAGTGCCGCTTTCCAGCTGATTGGCGCTTCTTTGGGGCTGTCGGCTCAGTGGAAGTGCCAGGATCAGCACCGGGCTCCAGCTGGAGCTCGGCGCTGATCCTGGCACTTCTGCTGAGCCCAGAAGAAGCACCGATCACCTGAAATATTGCAGTATCTCCAGGGTCTTGTGATTTACATTCAGATGCTTGGCAACTGATTCATGTTTATGATGGTCAGTGTCCCAGGGTCATGTGAAGTGACCAAAACCTGCTGCAATCACCCAGCAGACGGAATAAAAACCAACCCCCCCCCCCAGATCCACTGCCGCTCAACAGAAATGCTCACAACAATGAAAACCTCGGACAGGAGGAAGAGTGCCGCTGGGTGGGCAGGCAGGTGTCTTGCTCGGCTGTTGCTTGGGGGGCACTTTTTTCAGTGCCATTGTAACTTCAAGCAGTCATTAAGCTGTTGTAAGTCGAGGACTACCTGTACTTTATCACTTTTTTCCTTTTTTTTTTGTCATCAAGTTTTTGACACTTTG